CCCCATGCCATAAAATATTAGACTTTAACTGGAGGAGATTTGCACAGCCACAGAGGAACACTGCTCCTCTTTCCCAGATCTCTGCAGGAGCCTGGTTTACTATGGCCATACCATGACTCTGCTGTGCCAAACCTGGTGATTCGGTGGGAGAGTGAGCATAAAACCATAAATGCAAATTAATAAAATTCCACGCTGGGGTCTTTGCAGAGCTGTCCAACATCACCACTGTGCACCGAACCCCCTGTGATGGTCTGAGTATTGTTGTCTTTGTGACGCTCTGCAGCTGCTACATTCAGTGGATGAGGCAGCGATGCGGCCCTCTCCCCTCAGACTCACATCTTCACCTCCAGTTCTCATGCCAATCTGCGAAACATGTGACATCAATGCATGACTATTTATCTTCCAAACTATGATATTAATATCTGGACTTGTTGTTTTGCCTGGTCCCATTAATGTGGAAATGTGGGAATACATACAAAATCCCTAACTGAATCTGACAAAAGAGATTGGACAAGTTTCTGTTAAATACAGTGGCCTTTCTAATGTTTCTGATCCTGAGGATTTGATTTTGGTCTTGTTACCTTTCTTACCTTATTTTAATTACCCTGCAATTTTTTGTGTGTTGAGTTTTTTGGCCGTATTCATAAAAAATGGCACATAAATAAAGACCAAGCTACTTCTGCCAAGTGATGAGCTTGAAGCTCATTTTGGAGAAATCCTTTTGTCCCTGGAACATGAATAAATAATAATGCTGGGCAAAGCAAAACGTGCCAAAGCAAAAGCAAAAGGAGGGGGTTAAAAAAAGGGACAGAGTCCAAAAGTAATGCAGTAACTTCCCTACATTAGTCAAGAATGGGTTTCTTTTATCGACTTCTTCCTCCACTGCCCCTCCACCTCCTCTTCTGTTGCACCACTGGCACCGGACTGCACCACCTGCTATGGGACTCTTTTCGCTACGGCCAGAATGAACAGCTGGCTGCTCTTCTGACACTCTGATTGGCTAATCCCTGCTGGTCACTTTTGCTTTTCTCCCTGCATGTCATTGAACTTTCTCTCTGCAAGTGCCAGGTCTGAAGAAAAACTCTCTCTCTCGCTCAGACATTCTCTCTTTTTGCCCAGGTCCGTCCTTCATGTGCCCTGCTCATGATCCGGGTGGCATATGGGCATATGTAAATAATTTAATGAGGTCAAAAGTGCGAGAGAGTAATTTCTACTTTTCCTAAACCTTCCTTTTTGCGCCGTCAACAGAACATGAACATGAGTGCTCTCACATACAAGATTCAGGTCCAGCATCGACCTTTCAATAATCCATAAAGAAACTGTTCTTTCTTTTACCGTCAAACCGTCATTCATTCTTTGCTAAAAGTTTAACGAAAAACATTGTTTTTAAAGGCAGAACAGAAAAGGAATGTAAACCACTGACAATTTACAGTTAATAAGATTATGAAAAATACAGTGAGGTAGGATTAGAAGGGTAGGATTAGATAAACCATTGAATGTACATGACCTCTGTGTCCTGGGGTCATATTGATTTGACCAATATTGGCATAAACTGGCCAACACTTTGAGCTCCATAAAAAAAGTAAAGACAAAGCTAGCAGACAGGAAATGGTTAAGAAAGAGCATAAAACATTTTACTTCTTGTTAATTTGTCCAAATGACTCCACCAGCCAATCAGAATCCCCCGCTGATCGGTTCTCCAGTGAAGCTCAAACTGACTACAACATGGAAAAAATCCCTGCAACCAAACCTCAGGCCTATTTTCATTTACTGGCCTGTGACATGTTGTCACGCTCTATCATTCTTTATTTTATTATTTTACATTAAAATGTAATTATATCTTTTCCCCCTACAGGTCTTTTAGACTGCCGTGTGCTCGCTCTGTTTTTCCATACCGTGATCCACCGTCCTGACCGTCTTAGACCTCAATATAAAGTGGATTTGTCTTTTGAAATGCCATTAAAATTAAATAGACCTGTCAAAGTCTGACCTCACATGCACCTTGTACAGAAGAAGTCAACTGATCTCCTGGTAACTAGAAGAAGGGGAAACAGAGAACCAGATTAAAGTAGAAGATTAATAAAACAGCACAGGAGTTTGGTTTTTTTTTTACACATGAGTAGATTTCACTACTGTGTGAATCCATGATGCAGCAGAGTAGCCTCAGGCAGAACGTACACTTTACTTTGGTCTACATAAGGCCGACGAGTGAATCATCAGAGCTCAGCTGTCCAAAAACACAACACCAATCTGGACCAGACATGGCTGTATGACAAGTGGATGAAGTACTACTGCATCGGAGTGTTTACTTTAGTTTTCCTTCACTTTCATGTTCCATTAAAGTCACCAGTACAACTGACCAAAAATCACCACACGATGAACCGAGCACAGCTTCACACGCAGACTGTGAAATCACTTACCTACAGCTGATAAAAGTCAGTCTTCTCCAAGGCCTCGCAAGGCTAAGCTAACAATGCTAGCCTATCCATTTTTACTCCCTTGGCTACTAACAGCAATTTGGCATAATTTCAGCTGCATTTCCATCAACAGGGCAACATTTTCTAAACCATTACAAAACATTACAACCAGCATTTTTGTATTATTTCTTTGCAGTTGTTTCTATATATAATCTCTTTAAATCACAAATCAATCAGGGTTGTTGAATGGTGGAAGAACAACAAAATGAGAACTGCTCATCGATGGACAGCTCCTGACATGAAGGGAAAGATCAGATTAGGGCCATTGTTGATGGTCTAATGCTGTGAGACAGGGCTGATCAATAATCGTACGACTCAAGTTCATGGAGGTATCAGGCTGTGTCTCCAAACACATTTATCTTCTGTTTAACGAAGACTTCTTCCTAAAAAATGGTGACATTTTCTATGATGTGCACATTTTTCCAAAAGAATTTCTAAATGTCATTTGTTTCCACTACCTCACACTTCTTTTCAACTTTTCCCTATTTACTGATTCCATTTCTGAATGCACGATGCTGGAGTTGCAGGAACATTTCATCATTGCACTCATCTCGAACTTTGACCTTCCAGGGAGTTGCCTGTGAGAGCGGCAGCTTCAGTCTTGCACCCAGGTCTAATAGATATTAAATGCAGAAGTCGTAGACGAAGGGTAAAATTTCTCTCTTAATGATAGCGATACACTCCAGAGAACTGCTGCCTGTTTCATCCTGACACAGAGCTCATTTTTTTTGCATGTGTAATTGTCCAAGCAGTTCACGGCCACATTATCAGATTCATCAGCTAATCATTTAAGACTCCTCTCTTTTATCTACAAGATGGTCTGCGAATGATCTGATGGCACACCAATCGATAGGAAAATCGGAATATGCAAAGCCAGTTCTGATGTTTTTGGCATCGCTCAACCTTTGCTTCTTTCATCTCAGCCTTTTGATGTTGCTCTCAATCTGCATAACGCAGAGTGAGTGGCTAATGGAGTCGAGCGCTCCTCAAGTGGGGAGAGAGAGACGGGGAGAAAACTTTGCCGCTGGAGTCTACACCTGTGAGGGTGGAGCAACGTTTTCACTACAGTGGGAAAAGGAAATGTGTGCAAAAAAATGAGGTGTTTTAAGGTATTCAGTAGACAAAAGTATTAAACCATATTTTATCATTTGTATTTTTATATAATTGTTGTAATAAAACTGAGCCAGTTATATATTACAATTATGTGGACATTATTAAATAAATGAAAACAAAATGAATTATTTTATCATAATAAATGTTATTATCTGTTGCTCAATGTCTCTAAATACACACGCATAGTACTGGTACTAGTACTCACGCATCTCAGTGCACATCAATGTTGACACGTCACGCCCATTACTGTAGCGGTCATAATGTAGCGGTGCACTGATAAGTCCACGCACCTGAACAAAAAGAACTGAAGAGAATGTGAATTGCTGAGTTGATAGTGATATTGATTTCTTATCAGTGTAGTACTTCAAGTGAGGTAGTATTAAATTAAATACAACTATTTCAACTTGCTGTTGCTATTATGGTTTCACTGAAAATGTAATTATAAAGCTGCTTTTAAGGGTTACTTTCAAATGTTTATATTATTATTATTATTATTAATTGTATTAATTAACTAGATACATTGATATGCCCCCTAGCTAGGCCAGATAACTGTTTATATTGTAAAGTACTACATTAATATTTAGGATTAACAAGAAAAATTGAAACTGCCACTGCCTGTAGGAAATATAGCTTTCAGTGAAAAAAACTTGTTTAAAGAGCTTGGAAACTAAACATAAAAAAAGTGTGCGCATGACAATAGTGATTAAGTTCAGAAACCCCTCCAATAAATCATGATTAAAATTGTTCTCATTGCTCAGCACTAAATATAATAATATAATAAAAGATGGTACAATACAATACTAAATATCAGATTAAATTAACTATTTTACATATTTACTGGATGCATTAATTACAAAACATTACATACGAGAGAGAACTACACCTTTGTAGTGGTTATACACACAAGGGTTTTTTTTTGTTTTCATTTTTTTATTAATATATATATATAGTTTTATATATATGAATATTAATTAAATTAAAAAGATATAAATCTGAAAACAATAAAGGCCCTCAAATGTATAATATATATATATCCACTAAAAAGGTGCAGTTCTGTCTTGTATGTAATGATGCATATATATATATATATTAGAATAAACACTGGTGGTAAATTGTGGGATACATATGTAAGGTTTTACTTTTACTCATCTAAATGAGAGCTAATAAGAAGCAGGGCTGGGGTCAGTTCGCTTTGATCAGTTTGAAAATGCGAATTGAAACTGTATGTGATTAACATAATAATGAGGAGCAGAGCTTCGCCCTCAGTGGTTTCTGTGGAACATAGATATGAGACAGAGAAAGATCCGCAGTCGCTCTCGTTTCAGAGGGAACGTGAGGAAACTGGAGGCCGACGCTCCCAAGCAAACCTGAGACTTTGTGAATAAACATGAAGCTTCCAGAAAGGTTTGGTACTCTGTAATTTGGCTACTTTTATTCGAGCAGGGTCATTTTCAAGAGAAATTACAAATTAAGAATTCAATAATACTTTTACAAAGACATTTCAGGAAAGATTTTTCTTCAGTCATGATATCATACATAGTATTTAACAGTCCCTCTTCATTTTTTTAGCTTAAAAAAAGAAACAAAGATGAAGAAAGTGGAATTTTTTCAGTCGAAAATACAGTGTTTTCACAATTGTATAAAAGTTCCCAAATTTGGAATTTTCCAGTAACTGGAAAATAGAGGAAATAAAATAAAATAAGATTAAACTTCGCATTTCACAATGTTTCAAAACACAATAAATGCTCTCTTTACGTAAAATTTCCCCCATATGATCGACACCATGTTCCTTTTTTACTAAAATATATCTATATATTGAAGACCTATAGTACTGTACACAACAGTATGAAATAAATAAAATTAGGAATTATAAAATGGGCCACATAAATAATGTTTTTTTTTCAACCTACAAATAAAATGAATGCAATTCTGTTGTTTAAAAAAAGTGGTTTGGTGTAATACTGACAAAGTTTCAAAGAGAATAAAACTGAGAAAACATTGCACAACATAATGTAAACTAAGGAACTGATGCCTATTAAGTCTTAATACTGACACAGGTGCTCCAAAGAACAACAATGAACCATTTCATAATACTGAAGCTGGTGAAAAAAAAAAAAAAACAGAAAAAAAACCTTCCTTTTACACAAAACAGGGGTGGCACTTGCAGAAAACACACAGGTTAAAAGGTTTGCATATAAGGCTTCTTTTTTTTTCTTCAAAAACACCTTACAAAGGCTTATTCCTTCATTTTCCCCCAATACTATCTGTCCATAAACTGTATTTCCCTTAAAATGAAGGTGTCATTAAAACTTCAACCCCCTTTTTAAAAAAGCCCCGCCTCTAAATTCCTTCATACAGTCTTTTTGTTTATATTTCTTCATTTCGTGAAGTTGATTCATGAGGCCTAAAACAGTGTGGCTGGAGACGTCCGCGGTCCGGGCAACAGGGCAAAACTGAAGACGACACTGTGAGGAAGGAGGGTGATAACAAAGGTCATATCCAATGACTGCAGGGCAGACCGTACTGCTCTTTTCCAACACTGTATAAATATATACACAGGGAATACTTTTTATTATTTTTGTTCGTGATTATAGAAGTGGAGTGCAATTTGTACAAGTCACTAGTTGTGCTATAAATACTATGGAACACAGGGGGGTTTATTTTGAGGAGGTTAGCACCACACATATTTTTAGGCCTTAGTACTGTACATTTTTTTTTTTTTGAAATGTATTCATTTATTCATTGTTCGGTTTTGCATAATGCAGCTTATTTCACAAACCCATGCCTCCCTTTCCCTAAACACCTCCTCTCTCCAGATTGATTTTTTTGAGTCCATGTCTTGTTTGGCAGACATTTCTTTCCCCCCATGAGGAGTCTGTTGAAGAAAGCTTCCCGGAAGCTTCAGGCACGTGCACGAACAGCTTAAAACAGTGTTTTAAACCGAAGTAGATAAGAATACTGAACCCAAAGAGAGAAACTTAAAACTTTTTTTTAAGATGGGAAGCTTTTTTTTTTTTTTTAAGTGATTACATGCCATCCTCTACCGCGTCCTCGTGATCCGATTTGGTTTCCGTTTTGCCGTCCAGCGAGCTATCGTCCATCGAGTGCTCTCCATTCTCTTCCTCATCCCTCAACGTGTCTGGGTCCGTGTTTATGCTCTTGATTTCCTCCTCCTCTTCCTCAAACTCATCCTCTCTCCGTCCAGCAATCTTGCCATACGTTCCTTCTACTTCCTTCCGTCCGTCTCTCATCCCTCCGTTCACCGCGTCGTGCCTCAGGATGGCCTCGCGCTCTGCCATCTCTGGGTAACCCTGAGGTGTCATGCCCTGCAAGAACGCTCGGCTCATCAGCAGCTCCGTGGGCTCCATGTGACCCTTCTCGCGGGCCTCCCTCTCCGCTGCCTCCCGCTCCTCGGCCTCTCGCTTGCAGTAGGAGTAGCGGTGGTTCATGTGCTGCGAGTAGGAGCCCGAGTGAGAGAACCTCTTTCCACATTTGTCGCACTGGTAGGGTTTCTCACCAGAGTGCAGTCTGGAGTGCTCGATGAGATGGTGTTTGTGTTTGAACGCCTTCTTGCAGATCTGACATTGGTGCGGTCTCTTGCCTGCGTAAACACAAAAGACACGACCGGGACGTGAGTTTTCTGTCCTGCTCACCCTGCTGCTTCGCGCGTGCCTCCCTCTCCGCGGCCTCCCGCTCCTCGGCCTCTCGCTTGCAGTAGGAGTAGCGGTGGTTCATGTGCTGCGAGTAGGAGCCCGAGTGAGAGAACCTCTTTCCACATTTGTCGCACTGGTAGGGTTTCTCACCAGAGTGCAGTCTGGAGTGCTCGATGAGATGGTGTTTGTGTTTGAACGCCTTCTTGCAGATCTGACATTGGTGCGGTCTCTTGCCTGCGTAAACACAAAAGACACGACCGGGACGTGAGTTTTCTGTCCTGCTCACCCTGCTGCTTCAACAAATCACAAAAAAGTCAGGAGACGAGCAAAAATGTCGAGGAAAAACTTGGATGAATCGGACGACATGGAGTAAAATGACATTAAATCCAACTTGACTGACTTACGACTCAGCGGCTATTTGTTTATTCAAATTGTGAACATGATGAGAAGGTGCACATGCATTCATGGGCCTACTTTATGGAAATTCCCTCCTGTGGTTGAAGCATGGAGAAACTTAACCACAACTACTTATTTTAGGCCTGCATGCCACACGGATGGATGCAGCACGAATAAAGTAGTGCAAAGCAAACAGAAAAGGCGCTGCAATGGAGTAAACAAATCTGAGATGGGCTGCAGGGAAAGGGAGACGCTGTGAGGAGGTTACTCTGCTGATCTCCAATAAAAATTCAGCTTAATGGTGATTCCTGACTCTATTATGTTTTTGGATTGGGGTTCGTTCTGTCTACCAAATGGGACGGGACAGTTTTCATGCCAAGTCAGATTTAAAAAGAAAAAAAAACCTAAGTTGGCCATAAGGGAAGGCTGAGATATTTTTATGACACTGGGTCATAAAGTGCCTGGCTTAATAAATGTCCTCCATCTTGTAATGCAGCCACACTGCCTGTTTTCAAATGCTCTGTTTATTCCTATGCATTTATCACCATCAAAGTTCTAAGACTTTTTTAAGTGACTTGTTTCTTGTTTTAACAGAAATATACTAGGACTAATAAAACCATCTGAAACATCTAGTTTGGAATTTGTTTTTTTTTTTCTGGTCTTTATTCCCTGCTGCTTCACACGTGTGTGTCTGTCGCACACAAATCACATGACTCTGTCGTGACACGTGCGTTGAACAGCCAGCAGGCTTTTCAAACTGCACTCCTGTCCAACATCTGGGCAGTCAAGACACTTCACTCCACCTCTGGGAGCCTCGTATTATTGTTAAAAAACAAACAAACACGCGGTGGAAAAAAAACAACATGAAAGCATCCTGAGTGAGATGCAGGGGGCGCTGTGAAGATAACGCTGCTTTTATTCTCAACAAACGAGTTCAGCGCGCTGTTCCGACGGTGCTCCCTTCTTCCCCTTTCATGTGTGAGCAGATAACATGAAGGCTGCATAGAAAAAAAATGAACACACAGCTTCAGATAGTGGATAAAATAAATGATGCAACCTAGTGAAAGAGGATCTGTGTATAATAACTATAATGAAAGACTTGTTATCAGTGCTCTGAAGCTTCTGCGCTTTGCTCTGTTGATGTGATCTATCTCCAATAATGGAGCTGATAAAGGCATTAGCAGCCGTTTGCCTTGCTTTTATATGTCTAGGTGAATTGATGTGTGTCTTCTGAGATAGGAGAGTGGCGAAGACAGCAGGATATGATTGGAAAATAAAGAGTATAATCACTTAAAGGCAGGAGTCTTCCACTGATGGCCATGTAATACTTAATAAACTCACTTCTACTACTTTAGGGGAGAACATACAAAAGTATTTGAAGCATCACATGTTAAAAATGTCCTATTCCTGGATTGATTTTTTTTTTTTTTGTTTGGCATCTCATCCCTGTCAATGAAGAAGCAAGTTAGGCGCTGGTTTACATATACAACTTAGGGGGTAAACAAAGGAGAAAAGGAGGAAAAAAGGGGAAGGGGGTAACATAAAATAAAGCTTCATACTGATAGGATTTGGCAACACAAACATTTAAAACATAAATAAAAGCATGGGGTTTCAAATAAGGGTCTAGAACAGTATATACCTGTGTGTTCATATTTGTGTCTTAGAAGGGAACTGCTCTTCTGGAATGTTTTGTCGCACAAGTCACACGCGTACATACCACTTTCAGTCTTCTTAATCTTCTTCCGCGACAGACAGGAGTCGGGGTCTGTCATGTCGTCCAGCCCTGACAAGTAATCTGGCGTACCGTCGAGCAGATCCCCCTTCAAAGAACAGACAAAAAAAACAAAACAAAAGAAAAGGTGGAAAGAGAAAGAAGACAAAATGAGATTTACATTGATTTTCAAAAGGAAAAAAAAAATCGCAGAATTTATGAACGTATCCAGGGACCACTATTTATGAACATCACGCTCTATAAAGATGGGGTTAAATGTGTAAATATAGATTACAGACAATCTTTGAGTCTTAATGTTGTTGGAGGATACTGTTGTTAGAGACATTGTTGAAAGTACAAATCATAACGACTCAAATCGTTTCAGGGATATATGTTGACACCTCTGTGCAGTGTTTTTTTTTTTTTTTAAGGGACCACTATCACTCTGCAATCAATCTGAACAAAATGCCCATAGCTGTATTTTTAAAATCTAATTTAATAACTTAGAATAGGAAACATTATTAATACTTCTTTTTTTTTCATCAAAATTGTTCCCTCTGTGCTAACAGCCTTCAGCATTCACTGGTAATGAACGCTGCAACGGTGCATTAATAATCCACACCGTAGAAGCTCATTTTGGCTGTGCCCCTTTTTAAAATGCAGGAAAAAAAAAGTTGCAAAGGGAAATTTTACAGAAGTGCACAGCTCCGGGGGCTAACCTTTGTCATTTTTACAAAAGTCCTTTCACCCATAGTTAATAAAAACATATCTGGGGTTAAAACCAGGACTGAAAGATGAGTAGAACTCGAATCAGACCAGAGGAGTGGGTAAAATTTACAGTAAAGTGTGGTAACAATTAGTGCTTCACTGATTTGAAAGCCAAAATTGTTCCTGTGATTTATATGAACCTGATGCTGCTTGATATTCTCAGCCAGTGTTTTTAATAAACATTCTCCAGATTATAAAGAAAGGTCCTGTTGGTAGAGTTTAGGTGCTGAAAAAAGAAAAATTAATCTATTATTAAAGCATAAACATAGGACCAAAAAAAAAAAACTTAAATCTGGATTTGCTTAATAAGTAACAGACACCATATTTTTCCAATCTGCACACATTTCCCCTCTGCCAGGTCACTCTTTACCTGATGTGACCTGAGGTATGTGTCTCTCCTGACTCTGAATCTAATCCAATTATTTCAAAAATGAGTTCAGATCATTTTTGGAAATTTGAGTGAGCCTTGGGGTGGCTTATTTACCTGGAAACCTGGTTTCCTCTGGTACTTCCTCCTCTGCTGCATCTCGGCAAAGGTTGCCGCCCCTGCCGCATAAGTGTAGGCCATGTGCGGCAGGAAGCCCATCTGATCCATGCCTGGATAGGGCCTTAAACCCGGTATGCTAGCCTGCATCGGGGGCATGAATGTAGCAGGTGGAAAAGCGCTCTGAGGAGGAAGTGACGTGTAGAGGGGTTTGGCAGCAAATGGGTTAATACTGAAGATGGGGCTAGTGCTCTTTTCTAGGTTTCCATTGTTGGTAGAGCCTGAGAAGTCCTTCCTGAGATAGGCCAAGTTCAAAGGCTCTTCGAAGTGCTCACGGGGCGAGGGAACGCTGTTATGCTCAATGCTAATACTGTTGACTTTAGGTCTGCTTTTGACAGTCAGTGCATGCTTGGGTTCCTTCATGAGTCTCGGCAGTGAGAGGTCCAGTGGCTCTGCCTGCAGGTCTTCTGAAGTCAAACTGTTTGGAGTGTAAGAGCTGCTGTGAGAATTTTTGGAGGATGTGGAGGAGAGATTCAGTGGTGAGGGGGTGTTGCTGCGGGAGTGGTCCATCTTTTCACCTGCAGGTTTGGCGCCGCTGCTGCTGAACTGGTGGTTTTTCAAGAGTCTGAGGGGGTTGTCACAGTTGTTAACATTGTTATGGAGCTCTGCTATGGAGGGCGAGGTGATGTGATCAGTAGGTTTGATTAGTGAAACAGGCGACCTAGCTGCCATTGAGTCTTTTGGTGGAGTGTGGTGGTTATTTGTTCCGACAACCATATCATTGTTGTTCCTGTGCTCTAGTGGTGGTGTTCTGATAGTGCCGTACTGGTACATCTTTCTCTGCTCGAACCACTCCTTGACAAATTCCTGAGGAAGGCCGACGGCTATGGAAATCTTGAGCAGCTCCTCTGAATTGGGCTCCATGTTCATGGCAAAATATGCCTTCAGCACAGACATGTGGTCCCTGTAAGGGTTAAGAGGTGCAGTGAGTCCCTTCTCAGACAACATCGGGGAAGGTAAGTGACTGTTCTTCTCCATGAAGATCCCTGGCTTGTTGGGCAGCAAATTCTCACTGGGCTGAAGCACAGCTTTGATCTCCTCATTCATTTTGCACAGATAGCGTTCATGCTGGTGCAAAGGTATTGGCCCAGGAAAGGTTTCTTTACAATATTGGCAAGCATAAGGCGTAAACATGTTTTCCTGCACTTTCTCCTCCACACCTCCTTCAAGCATGTGGTTGGGTTTCTCGCGTTTGATATTGCTTATCTGTCTCTTGGAGTCTGTCGTTAAGCTCTGGAGGCAGGCTTTGGCTTCGTTGACTTTTTCCAATGTGTAGTCAATGATGCTTTTGGTGGCTCCATTGTGATTGACCAGTGGAAGCCCGACCTGAGCCCCCGCTGATGCCAGTGCCTGTTTTTGCTCTTCAACCTGGGACCCAAGCTCCTTCATGTAGGCCTTCAGCTTTGAGAGCTCCTCGGGTTTGCAGTCCATTTTCTGCCTGCACACAGTGTTGTCCACAATCTGAAGAACCTTCTGCACCTCGCTCAAGTTGTTCCCTAATGGACCTGGGTAGCCAAGAAGCTGTGACTCAAGACCGGCAATCCCCAGGTGCTGCAGAGGGCTGGGGGCTGTTGAGTTGTGGTGGATCCCCAGTGGACTGGTACCTCCCATGCTGCCGTTCATAAACGGTCCCGGGGGGCCAAATCCTTGGGATGCCATCATCAGCTTGTAGTCATTGAAATCAAGTGGCTCGGTCTTGATGCTAAGGTGGCTGTTATGGTCGGGTAACCCGAGGGGTTTGCCGTTCTCTAGCTTCTGCCTCAACTGGGTAATGGCAGTGTTGGTGGGTGAGGAAGAGGCAGAGGTGGGTGACGAGCCTGTCTTCATGTTGTTACGCATCCTTCCATTAACAGCAATCAGGCCGATGCACTTTTTACTACTGATGTGGGAGCTGTAGGAGCCCGAGTGGGAGAACCGCTTCTTGCAGTTGGGGCACTCGTAGGGTTTCTCACCTGAAGCAAAAGGCATTCACAGAGTTCAGAGTGCGTCAGCAGGGAATTCACAGAAGAAACTGTTACAAAATTTAGGATTTTAATCATTGTTGAGTATTTCTTAAAGTCCTGTCCACTCACCACTGTGAATTCGAAGGTGTTCCTTCAGATGGTGCTTGTATTTAAAGGCCTTTCCACACTCGGTGCATTTGAACTTGCGGTTGCTGGCTGCCTGGTTGAGCAGTTGGTGCTGCGTGAGAGAGAGGAGGCCATGTTTAAATGTTGTGACGTAAGCAAGCTATCACAATCATGACAACAACCTAAAGCAGCAAGTCTCCCAACACAGTATCACAGTTCCCACTCTCTGCTGAGTGACTGGAGACAGTGGCAGTGATAACAGAAAGAATTACACACTTTTTAATTTCCTGGCTTCTAAGCCAGAGAATGCATCCTTTTAGAATTTAGCAGCCCAGAAAATATAATTAAAGAAAAGATTTTTTTTTTTACCAGTGCTTCTTTCTCATTACAATTGATTTGATTTGCTTTTCAATTAATTCCTAATCAGTCTGATAAGGTATTAAGGATAATCTCCAAGCTTTTGGCGCAGCATACCTGTATTCATACTATTTGGTTTTTAATTCAATCCTTGTTAATGTCTCTACAGCCATCTTGGAAAATGTCGAGACAGAACTTCAATTCAAGACCTCAGTTGTAATTCATCACAGTCTTCACCAGGCCATTTCTCTTAGAAAACGAAAATAATACATTGCATACTATGTGTAATACTCAGCAATAACAACAACACTGGGTTTGTAAACCAGGCCCATCACTCAATGAACCATAAATTCCAAGTGGGAGGTGAGGATGTTACATGATTATTAAAAAAAAAGGAGAGAGAAAGTCAGAAAAAAAACAACACGTTTTCTGTGAGCTCACTAGGGGGACACACAGCGACTCCCTCCTCCCAGTTCAGACTTGACAAATGCTGGGGTGTGTGTGCGACTCTGACTCTACCCACATTCCTGGGGAGACAGATGGTGGCACGCAGGACACTGGGAGGACTGGGAGGAATTGTTCAAACAGCCCCAACCTTCAAAGATCAAGCAGGGAGAGTCGGGGGGCCCCGCCAAGCGCTGGAGAGGGACCCTACTGCTCGTATGTTGCTGAGTTGCATAAACAAACAGCAACAGCTGCTCAGTGCTCCCCCCCAACAACACCACCTCCACCACCATCCCCTTAACTTCCCCCCTGAGGACCCCTGCCCGGTAAAGTTTAGTCTCGCCACCACTGCTAATAAGGCACAATCGCTTCTTGGGCTTAATTGTGAATGGCACCAGCAAAATGCTCCAGCAACTCCTTCATGGCTCTTTGACGGTGTGAACATCACCACTGCTGATAGTGGGCGGGGAGCAGACTGGATGTTTGCATATGTATAACCTCTAATTAGTAATATTTCAGCTAAGTGTTTAAGAGGAGGAGGAGTATTAAGGCTTGTAAACACACAAGACGGAGAAAAAACATGGCACATGATTACCTATCAGCACGTTAGTCTAGATGTAAATATGAGTGGTGAGTAACTTGTTAATTACCAAGTCTCCTGTTCATGCATAAATGCACCTCTATTTTTTTTAATAACCTAAATACAAGCACAAAATAATATTCAGGCCGCTCACAAAGAAAATCCAAGAGCAGACCTCATCTGAGGGATTAGTGTTTAACCAGTCAAACTCATTTACAAATCAAGATAACTAGCTCTGTGGAGGAACCTGTGGTTCTTATATGGGGAGACCTTCTCCACTGACTTCACTCGGGAAGCAGGGGAGAAGGAGCAGCAGCAGCAGCAGCAGCAGCAGCAGCATTGTAATATGAGGATTTGGACGGCGGCTCACTCGGGCCAGCCCATCTGCTCACGTTTACACCCAGCTGGTAGATCAGGTGAAAGTGCTGGCTGCTGACATCTGATCAAATCAAGCACAGTTTGAGTCTGTCATCCTCGCTTCAGAGAGCGCGACACCCACAACCTGCAACTAAACACTGAAATGAATCAGGGTTACATGATCTCATCTGTGATTTGCTGAATGGCAGATTGTTATTCTTTCCTTAATTACCTCGGTGTTTTGTGCTATTTTTTTCCCCCAAGTTTAAATAATAAACTGCAAATCCACTGACTGTGCAGTCATTCTGAATCACAACCTTTGGTCAAAATCTAACGCAATATTAAACCAAGATTAAAAAATTTGCATTTTTTTCTTTTACTTTTTACTGCAATTATTTTCCTTTTCCTCTTTATTTAAAAAAAATCTACTTATTTACTAGCCTCACAAATAGAAAATAGACTTCATCTGTATAAAAAATGACTTTTCTCTTTTCACTTCACTGAAAAGTTATAATTATTTTGCCCTAATGTGTGAAAACTCTAAAAGCATGAAGTTTGTATTTTTTCCACAATCCATCTTCGACCACTTCTTTGACTTAAGGCGGACATGCGAGTTAAATGCCTGTGACTGCTGGATGTGTTTTCACCTCACAGAGACTTTAAGGTGATTCATGTTAACTGCTCTCAGGATCAAATTATGTTTCATGACGTATAGGATATTAATGGCTCGAGAACTTTCACGT